TTTTTGTGGCTAAAGAGTGGGACCAAGTGGGGGCGTAGAATTAGTATCCAAACTTCCATTCGATGGCCAATTTATCCTTTTTCTCTTTCCAATTGCTTCAAAATGAGCCTGTAACTAAACATAGAAGTAAATTTATCCAAGTTAAGTAAAATTCAATAGTTTCATGACATAAAATCTTAATAATATGGTCCGAATAAGTGCACGAAAAGCACTTATCAACCTTATCAGGAACTAGCCCATCTAAAATTTTATCATGTTATAAGAAACATGAAATTGCACTATTGGTTCGCAATTAGTAAAAAACGAGCATGTTAGTTATCAAACTCTTTATTACATTTGCACAAAAAGTTTTCAAAGATGAAAATCGTTCAAATCTCTGTTAAATTATCATTCAATCTTGCATAGCTATCCATAAAATTTAACACTTAGACATTCTTCCACAAGAACAATGTGGTGGAGCCAATCTTTCCTTTTATTTGATAAACTTTGTATTCGACACAAGCCCCTCACATATAGGTTGGTGTCATTGTTTGCAGGGTCGGTAAAGTACATTGATTATGAGCCCTTATATAAGGCAATTGAAGAAGGTAAGTGGCATTCTACAGTAGATTTCATTCAGCGAAATCCAGAGGCCATTAGGGCAAGAGTTTGTTTTGGACACAAACACACAACTCTATACATTGCAACTTTGTTTTGGACAGACTGAAGTTGCAGAAAATCTTGTAAGCCTTATCTCGTGCTGAGATGTGTGGTGAGACGAAACTAGCCAAGAAAATGGTATATGAGAACAAAAATTTAGTTAAAATAGCAAAGTAGATTATGAAAATGGGCAACTTCCTATGATTACGACTGCATTGCATGGAAAAAAGGATATGGTTCATTATTTATACAGAGTGACGCCGAAAGATGAGCTAAGTCCTGAAAAGAGTGAAAATGGAGTCACACTACCTTATTCATGCTGAAATTTATGGTATGTGGACGTACAATTTGTGGAGTCTAATCATATTGTGTAAAATCTATCAATTACAGATAAATATAATGTTCATGCACATGTAGAATAATTTGTAGGTAGTAATTTTGCTTCACGTTAGTGAAGACTCAATTCTCACACTAAGCGTGAAGCGCTGGAAATCTCTGTTTGGATACAATTTATAATATGGTTAATAAATTTGCTAAAGTCAAATATTATTTTCAAACACACATTTATAATTATCAATAAATTTAGTGGATCCCGCTAGTATTCCTCTTTACAAATTGATTTATAAATTTGTCAAACGGAGGCTATATATTTTCTGATTTTATTTTAGTAAAAGTTGCAGTCGCAATTGAGATTAGGGTTTAATCCCCATGACATGGATACCTAATTCCGGCTGTTTTGCTTACTGCAGATGTTGCTTCTATGCTATTGAAAAGTATCCAAAGTCGTGTGTTACCCCAGATCATGTTGGCAATTTTGCTCTCTGAATATTGGTTCAGAAACCTTCTGCATTTCCTAGTGGGACTAAACTGGCATTTTGGGAAAGTACATAAATGCTCTCATATTCATTTCATTCACAAACAATATACCATGACAACACATCTAGATAAATTTTAGTTTCTTTTTCATGCTGTCTAGTACAACATTACAAACTTGCTATAAATGTACATGTTGAACGCGATCATTTCGAAAAGTATTCCCCGTCGTACTTTTTACACATGGTGTAAGAGTACATTCACCTTGGGAAAGTCATGACAAAGAGCACGTAGAAATGCAAATCTCAAGTATTATTGTTTGTAAATCAAGCGATGAAGATATAACGGAAACGATGGAACATGGATGCCTAACTATAACTAATCGAGGTATATCTAATTGCACCACATTCCTCCCCTTCTTGTTCAGGTCTTATTTACACACTCTAAATTTCATTTAGTGGTATAAATTAGGCCATGACGACTCCTGGACCATCCCTCGCTCGGCTCAGCCAGTCCAACCTGGACCTAAGTCTCTTTTTAAATACACATGGGCCCATGGACCTTCAAAGTTGAGCCAAGCCAACTGTAGATGTGGGCTGATCATGCCATGGCCTGTGATGGGACTGGCTGTACTTTCATGCATTAGCTGGCTCTAAGCTTTGATAACCCAGTTTGACACCTCTAAGGAAATCCTTGGTATGTATAATCTTCCTACATATATAATTTCCGCTACACACTTTAATTATATATAATTTCTGTTTTGCTAAGTTCAGAGCGTGTTTGATATGGTGGAATAAATAGCATTTGACAGTTGAGGAAGAAAAAAAAATCTTATCAGTCATACTTAACAGTAATATTGAATATGGTGTCCCAAATGTGCTCTTAGTTCAGTTTTGTATCTATCATTTTAAATGTTGAAGTGTCCATTGTGTTTTTTTTCCATATAAATTCAACTGGGTGAAATGTTTTCCTTTTAGCCACATGTCATTGAGGAATTCTATTTCTCCAGTATTGTATTAGACCATATGTGCCTGTTTTGTTGGAACAAATCAAAATTGACCCTCACATTTTCTAGAATAATTCCATTATTTGAGGAATAATCTTGAATTTTTAGTATGTATAAATAGAACCACATGATGTAATATTTTGTAACGCAAAATAAGAAGTGAATTTCAGTTTATATATCTCCATATTATCTTGAATTCAAACTGATGTTAGAGCTTTGAAAAAAGAAAAAAAAAATATAAACATTTAATGAAAAAAAATTATGTACACCAAACACAACCTGTCCAATAATTTGGTTTCCCCTTTGCCTCATTTAATGGAAAAAATTTGATAATTACTTCATGCATCAACCATATAGACATTTATTTATCCATAAATAAATCAATTATAAATGCATAGAACAACCCTCGGAATCACTCAACTATAAAATCAAGCAATAAATCAAGAATTAGAATTACAGAAAATAAACAATTCTAGACCTACACTCTAGTACCTCTAATTGGAACCGGTCCACTAGGGTTAGGAAACACAAAAAAAAAAAAAATAATAATAATAATAAAATAATTTAAAAAATCTATTTATTGCATTTCTAATTAATCGCCACAGAAGTGTCTAGAAGTTACGACTATTTCAAGCAATTAATTTGTTGATCTTCTTGCTTGATGTTGATTGATTCGCGAACTTCCAAATTAGATCTCATCCAATAATTGTTCTTTCCTTGATCTACAAGCTTCATACCCTCTTAGGTAATGGAAATTGTATTTTATTCAAATTATAATGGAAACTTGTTATATTCATAACAAAATTTTAGCTCGTCAATAAAAAGATCGTGTGAAATTTCTTCTTTCAATTAGACTCACTAGGCCAACTATCCCCCAATAAAAAGAGCCAGATTTTGCTGCTTAACACTTGGGCCACCACGACTAGGCCCAATTAAAGTAGGCCAACTATTATCTTGTGAAATTTAAGCTAAATGGCTACTGTAGACTATGGTAGACCGTGGGCCGTATAAGCATCTAACCCATTTAAAGATGACCCACTTATGTAATTTGCTCTAAATAAAATGTTTCCTATCTATGAAAAAAACATTTTATTTGAGTAAATTACACAAACTCTCTAGGCTGCTCTGTTGTATAAATTTTCCTATTTTACTAGAACACCTCACAAAATATAATAAAAAGTGTAGCATAATCCGTTATATTTTGAATATTATTTGTGTATTAAAAGATGAGAGATTTTACCCATCAGAAAAACAATATCCCAAAGTTAGGATAAATGTTTTCCGCCTAAATTGGTATTTTATTTTTATTTCAGTAAATAAATACTTTTACTTTGTCATGGCTAATTTAACTAAAGGAAAAAAAATGGAAAAACTGAAAACATTTCAATTAGGAACTAATTTTTTTTCTTTTTCCTTTTTTGGGTAAATTTTGTTTGTCTGCACAATGTAAAGCACATTGTTAGCCCTACAAGAAGTTGAGAATAATTTCTTTGAAATACTCCAGTTCTGTGGACAGCAAAGAAGATTAAAAAAAAGGAAAGAAGACAAAAAGTAAAAGTAAATAAATAAATAAAAAATGTACCTTACTTAAGCATAGAGTAATTCTATATTATGCATCTATAAAGACTGAATGCCCTTCTTGATGATCAAAGCATACTTACAAGTGATATCCCAGTGAGAGAAGATGACATAATTAGACTCAAGTAAGATGATTTTAATTTACTTTGCTTGATTTGTTGTGTTTATAGTTTTTTTTTTTCTCAAGTTTCCTTTTTTTAACGAGCTCTATTATTGAATTGCCAGTTCAATTAACATTATCGATATTGTGCTTTGAATAAACTCGTGGAGTAATCAAGAATATATTACTTTTTGAGGTCCCTTTACAATGCCGAGCACTTCAACTTTCTCGAACAATTTGAAAGCACTGTTTGTCACCCAACTTACAACACTGTTTCATTTAGTCATCAATTCTTTTAAAGTTTATCATTGAACTTTCATTTTGATAGGCGAACAGATAGATGACATAATCTAGCGGCTCTAGAATTGTGCCGGAGAAGCTAACTGAGGATAACTTTATAAGAAGTTGAGAATAATTTCTTTAGGAATACACTAGTTCTGTGGACAACAATGTGAAGCACATTGTTGGCCCCCCAAGAAGTTGAGAATAATTTCTTTTGGAATACACCAGTTTTGTGGACAGCAAAGATGAATAATACACCATTCTGTGGACAACATTGAGTGAAGCACATTGTTGGCCCTCCAAGAAGTTAAGAATAATTTCTTTCGAATACACCAGTTATGTGGACAACAAAGAAGAATAATACACCAGTTCTGTGGATAACAATGTGAAGCACATTGTTGGCCCTCCAAAAAGTTAAGAATAATTTCTTTGGAATACACCAGTTCCTCCAAGAAGTTGAGAGTAATTTCTTTTGGAATACACCGGTTCTGTGGACAGCAGATAAATAAAAAATGTACCTTACTTAAGCATAGAGTGAATTACATCTATAAAGATTGATTGCCCTTCTTGATGATCATAGCATACTTACAAGTGTTATCGCAGTGAGAGAAGATGACAAAATTAAAGTCAAGTAAGATGATTTTAATTTACTTTGCATGATTTGGTTGAGCTCTATTATTAAATTTCTAGTTCCATTAACATTCTCAATATTGTGCTTTGAATAAATTCGTGAAGTAATCAAGAATATATTACTTTTTGTGGTCCCTTTACAATGTTGGGCACTTCAACTTTCTTGAACAATTTGAAAGCACTGTTTGTTACCCAACTTATAGCTGTTTCACCTAGTCATCAATTCTTTTAAAGTTTATCACTGAACTTTCATTTTGATTGGCGAACAGATAGAAGTCATAATCTAGCGGGTCTGGAATTGTGTCGGAGAAGCTAACTGAGGATAACTTTATAAGAAGTTGAGAATAATTTCTTTTGGAATACATCAGTTTTGTGGACAACAATGTGAAGCACATTGTTGGCCCTTCAAGAAGTCGAGAATAATTTCTTTTGGAATACACCAGTTCTGTGGACAGCAAAGAAGAATAATACACCAATTCTGTGGACCAGTTCTATGGACAACATTGAGTGTAGCACATTGTTGTCCCTCCAAGAAGCTAAGAATAATTTCTTTCGAATACACCAATTATGTAGACAGCAAAAAAGAATAATACACCAGTTCTGTGGACAACTATGTGAAGCACATTGTTGGCCATCCAAGAAGTTAAGAATAATTTTTTTGGAATACACCAGTTCTGTGGACAACAATATGAAGCACATTGTTGGCCCTCTAAGAGGTTGAGAGTAATTTCTTTTGGAATACACCAATTCTGTGTTGAGTCTCAAAGGTGATGCAAGATTGAGATTTAATGACAATAATGAAATATTCAAGATCACACCATGAAAACAAGATTAAAGTAAAGTACAAAAAAGAAATTAAGCAGAGGAACGATGAATTTTATTTAACCCGACAATATGGAGAGAATAATACAGGACAGTAATAATGCTTCATCTTAAACTGACAAAGGAGTCTCTAATTTATAGGCCACGTCCATAAACCTAATGGAATCCTAAAAGGTAAGAAAATATACTAGAATCAGGTTAAACCGCATAAAAGGAAAATTTTTTTGATGTAATTTGATTTCTTTCCAAATTCAAGCCAAACGTGATCTTCCAAGATTTCAACCTAATTTTGAGGCATTAAACCTAACATTCTGTGGACAACAAAGAAGAATAAAGAAAAGGAAAGAAGATAAAAAGTAAAAGTAAATAAATAAAAAATGTACCTTACTTAAGCATAGAGTGAATTACATCTATAAAGAGTAAGCCCTTCTTGATGATCATAGCATACTTACAAGTGTTATCCCAGTGAGAGAAGATGACAAAATTAAAGTCAAGTAAGATGATTTTAATTTACTTTGCATGATTTGGTGTGTTTATAGTTTTTTTTTTTCTCAATTTTCCTTTTCATCTCGAGCTCCATTATTGAATTTCTAGTTCAATTAACATTTTCGATATTGTGCTTTGAATAAACTCGTAAAGTAATCAAGAATATATTGCTTTTTGTGGTCCCTTTACAATGTCAGACACTTCAACTTTATCGAACAATTTGAAAGCATAGTTTGTCACCTAACTTACAGCACTGTTTCATTTAGTCATCAATTCTTTTTTAAGTTTATCACTGAACTTTCATTTTGATTGGCGTACAGATAAAAGGCATAATCTAGCGGGTCTCGGAATTGTGCCAGAGAAGCTAACTGAGGATAACTTTATAAGCTGGAAAAATTGCTTGGCAAATTATTTGGTTGGGAATGGGCTTTGGGGTGTTGTCTCTGCTCAGGAGATTGAACCAGATAAGACAAATATACAAGAGCATGAAAAATGGAAGAAAAAGAATGCTTTGGCTTTGCATGCAATTCAACTTTCATGTGGACAAGCAATATATTCGAAGTTTATAAATGCCGACATTAATGCTGACTACGTATGGACTCAGTTGGTAGAAAAAGGAGATCACGACAAAGAAACTCGAGTCGACGATAATGGTAATTCCTCAATCTTTGTGATGAACTAGGCCGTCTAAAATTTTATCGTGTTATAAGAAATGTGAAATTGCACTATAGGTTCTCAATCATTAAAAATGAGCAAAGAACAATGTGGTGGAGCCAATCTTCCCTCTTATTTAGTAAACTCTGTAGTTTACACAACTCCCTCACATTCAGGCTGACTTCATTGTTTGTAGGGTTGAGTGAGTACCTTGAATATGAGCCCCTATACAAGGCAATTAAAAAAGGCAATTGGCATGCTATAGAAGGTTTCTTTCAGGAGAAGACACTGCCATTTACTGAAAGTATTTCATCACACAAAGAGACAGCTCTGCACATGGCAACTTTATCTAGACAGACTGAAATTGCGAAAAAACTTATAAATTTGATGGGCCCAAAAGAGTTAGAACTGAAAAATGAACATGGAACTACGGCCTTATCTTTTGCTGCAATCTGTGGTGCAACAGAACTGGCCGAGGA